CTTGTGTGTGTTAGCAGATGTATGTTCGATTATCTATGTAAGCTCATGAATGCTAGCTTGTGTATGTTAGCATGGATATATTAGCTTGTGTATTTAGCTTGTGTATCAGCTCACGTTTGTTAGCTTGTGCATGTTAGCTCGTAAGCTCATATTTCCTAACGTGTTAGCTCAGATATATTAGCTCTTGTGTGATAGTTAATGTTTGTTCAGATTAGCTTGTGTTTCAGTGTTAATATTTTAGCTTTGATGTTTTTTCATACATTACAAGACAAAAGTATTAGTGTACTTGTTGTTTTCTTATCTCAAGGAGAAATTAGACTTTAATTGCAAACATTTTACTATTTAAACATTTGATTGTCTTGTGAATGTTTTCATTGGCAGGATGCTTTTAACCTCAATTGAAGTGAAATAAGATAAAGCAGTAAATTATTTACTCGTCTTGTTTTATCGCCACGCATGTTCTGCACAGTAATAACTGAATTCTTTATCTGAGGCCTGATATTTTTTATAGTCTCTAATAACACGTTGAGCTCTCGAAGACAGCTGCTTCCATAAACCCAAAGTTTAACGTTTAAAAGGAGGGCAGCTGGTCATCAGGTTTATTCCAATCCGATCAGCAGCTGAGCGAACGTTCACTCTGACATCCTGGAAGAGGAAAAAAGGACCTGTCAGTTTCAGATTAGTGCAGGCAAACAGAGTGAGATAAAAGTTGGCAGAGTGTTTGGAACAGGGTGACGTGTGTTTACTGGACAGATCGGAGGTTTTTGTTTTCAGTTAACGGATCAGAACAGAGAGGGATGGAGAGTTTATTCTGACTCCAGTCCAGGCTGACTCACGGAGAGCCTCTGCTGGTGACAGGTGGAACTTTTTCATTTAAAACTTTAGATTTGACATTGATAAGTCCTCAAAACCTCACGTTTATTTATTTTTTTTTATCTCTGCTCAGATTGGAGCAAACTGCAAGAGTGAGCTCATACTTAGGTTAAAATATGACTGGGCCAATAAATAAAACTGTTTACAAAGAGCTGGAAACAATAAAACATGTGTTGATACATCAGATCATTTCTCTTTCATCATTTAGGTTTCTAATCCTGAACCATTGAGAAGTGAAGGGAAAGTGGAAATCTTTAAAGTTGTCAGGTGGTGTTTTTCCCTCCGTCGTTTATCAGCGAGCCTCGGTGAGTTTCTGCTTCCTTTCTTCTGCCGCTGTTTGGTTTGAGATAGTGGTCAGGCTGAGAGGGCGGTGTTTCATCACAGCTCTGTTTGCTCACTGGAGGAAACAGCAGCAGCAGTGACTCAGTCAGACCTTTGAGGAGCAACAAGTTTCTCTCCTCCTCTGTTTATTCTGAAGTCAGACTCACAAAGGAAATTATTCAGGAAGTTTGTTCCTGTGGGGCGAAATCAGATGGTGCTGCCTGGAAAACTGCAAACCACAAAAAGCTTCTGGTGAATTAGTAACAAAGTCTGAGTCCAACTAAAGACTCAGTAAAGTTCTGTCCACAGCGCTGGTGACACCAAGAGTCCATCAGGCTTTGATCATCAGAGCAGCTCCAACATCAAAACCTTCAGCTGCAAAAATCTAAACTGGAGAAACAAAAAGAAGCTGAAAAATGACTTGTTAAAGCCTAAAAGAATCAGTTCACTAGCTGAAAGCTAAAAGAATCAGTTCACTAGCTCACAGCTAAAAGAAACAAGACACTAGCTAAAAGCTAAAAGAAGTTCACTAACTGAAAGCTAAAAGAAGCAGTTAACTAGCTAAAAGCTAAAAGAAGCAGCTCACTAGCTAAAAGCTAAAAAGAATCAGTTCACTAGCTAAAAGCTAAAAAGAATCAGTTCATTAGCTAAAGCTAAAAGAAACAGTTAACTAGCTAAAAGCTAAAAGAAGCAGCTCACTAGCTTCAGTCTAATCAGGAGACTTGCTAACAAACTAGCTAAAAGAATCAAGACAYTAGCTAAAAGCTRAAAAATGTAAAACACTAGCTAAAAGAATCAGGAGACTAGTTAAAATATTCAAGACACTAGCTAAAAGCTAAATGAAAAAAGATAAAACAGTTTTGTTTTATATTTTGAGAGTTTTGTATTTTCTAATATTTTTTGTTTGTTTCTCACTCCATGAACTGAAGGCAGAACTGCTTCTTTAAAGTGAGTTTAATCTGTTTATAATCTGTAAATAATCTAATTTTAGATTAAAAAATAAATAAATCTTTATATTGCAACAGAAACTGCAGCTGATGGAGCAGCAGGTTGATSTTTTTCCACCCTGGGTGAGTCATCGTCTGTTTTAGAGGAGCTCTGACCATCGTCCTGTCAGCATGACTCATTGAAAATAAAAACAAACTCTGCTCACCTTCATGTAAACAAACTCAAAACACATGAAAACAACAACTGCCTGCAGTTAAACACTAACATCTGATGGTTACATTTATGAGTTTTATTTCTAGTTTTATTTACACGAGTTTTTCTCATGTTGATCACTCTCAGCTACACCTGATTTAAGATGAAAAAATCCATCAGAGTTGATTTTTATTAGCTGTGGCGGCCATGTTGAACTGTTAATCTGTTGTTTTTCATCCATTAATTACTTCCTGGGTGTTTCATTAAAATCAGTCCGGTGKTTTATGAGATGTTTTGCTAACAAAGACTCAAAGTGAGGCAGAAAAGTGTCTTTTCACCATCAGACAGGATGAAGGTCGTGTCCCCCTGCTGGTGCAGACAGGAACTGCAGCTGCTGCAACACTGGTGCAACTCCTCACTGATTTATGCCAAGTCACCGTGACTCAGGGACACGGCTTCAGTTTGTGGGTCAGTCTGAGTCACAGACGTGACCCCACCCCGCCCTGCCCCTCGGTGTGGAGCCGTCCTGGACAGGTTCTGATCCAGAAAACATCCAAACAGAAAAAAAAACAAACCCTTTAAACAACAATCCTGCTGAGGTGTTCTGATCCATCTGACAGGGACAGAAAGACGATCAGGTGTCGTTTGTTCTGCGTGTTGCACCTGTTGCCTCTGAGCAGAGACGGCTCGAGTCACACAGAATAAAAAGATGGAAACTGTTTTTAAAATGAGTCAGAACTGCTGCATCAGAGCTGAGTCTGTCGAATCCCTCAGCTCTGGTTTTAGATTAAAATAATAAAAATAAAAAACTCAGAGCTTAATGAGCTCATCAGGATTTAAAAAATGTTTTTTCTTCATCGTTTTTCATTTATTTTCTTGATTTTTGGGCTCAGAAGGTGCAGAAATTCAAGACTTTTTGACTTTTAGTAGTCGTTACCTTTTTAGCTATTTCACCTTTTTAGCCTTTTCACTTTTTCTGCCTCTTTTTTTTC